GATTATATAGCTACTGCGTGCTACGCGCATTTTATAGGGATTCGGTTAAATTGATTCCAATCCACGAGGTATACGCACGAGGCCCTATTCCAGTCAGTGGCGGATTGCCAAGTGATTACACCTCGAGTTTGAAGATTTGCGCAATAATAATGAACGAAATGAGGAAAAGAGAGAAACGGAGAAAAATTATGCCCGACAGTATATATTTTACGGTGTCGCGGAACCATCGATTTATGTATCGACAGATAAATAAATAAAAAAAGGAACAAAAGTAGTTTCCAACCAGGACGGTTCATGTTGCATCTATGAATGATATGTCGGTATTGCATTCGACGTGATCGCTTTAGTGTTAGGGGTTGCGCTCGGATGGTAAATGACGGCGATCGGATATTTAAAACCGCAACGCGCTTGAAGTGTCACCCCACTGCTGCCGTTACTAATGAACCGTAGGAATTAAACGCGCATGCGAATTCGGAAAAAATACAACGATCATGGATGGATTTTTTATGTTAGCGGTTTTGGACGAAATCCGGAGTTCACGTGAACATAGTGATTTAATTATTATTATTATTTTTTTTTTAACATTTTGCAGAACAGAGTATTTGATTTTTTAGGATTTGAAGTTACTTTTTAAAAAAATCGTTCCTCTAAAGGAAAACATAACACTGAAAACGTCGATGTATTGCTAAGGTCGAATATCGGATTGACATTTTAATATTTAAAACGTCCAATGTGTAGCCTAGCCGGGGCGGAATGGCCACGCGGTAACATGTCAGTGTACCACAGGGGCGGCCCAAGCAAAAATAGTGCACTAGGTAAAATCAGATTTAGCCGCCTCAAAAAAAAAAAATTGAGCTCTTATTTTAACTTAGTCCCTCCTCCTATTTTTTATGTGACATATCTACATAAAAAAAAAGTTTAATTTTTTTTTATTTTATATATAAAATTATAGACTAAAAAAGACTTAAAAATAATTTCTATAACTATTACTCAAAACCCATTACTATCGCGAATAACGGAAATCGCGGAAGTGATTGTATGGTTATTTATATTTTTAGAATAATTGAAAACGTCCAGCATAAACCGTAATATAAAGTCAGTGCCGTAGCAACCAAACATTATACCCCGGGTAAAACTTCAAAATGCGCCCTAATGTATTTTTGATTTAAAAATATTATGCTTATTAGACATTATTTTCAATGATTTCTTTAATTAATATGAAGGGTATTGAAGATTCTGTAAACAAAATATATGACATTGACCGTTGTAATTTTTAACATAAATGCAAAATTTTAATTTTTGCGCTCTCCCAGGAATTGTGCCAGGGGCGTAGGCACCTCTCGCCAACCCCTTGCTACGGCCCTGCCCGCAAGTTTCGATATAGTTTGTATAAAGTAATATAATAACTTAAGACAATATTATTTTATTGTATAGGTAAGTGGTTTTCACTAATGAATCAATTTTAAGATTTTTCATATAAAACACCGATAGAACTAAAAAAAAATGTATGAGTCAATTTTGAAAATGCCACCCCTACTAAAGTACCACTCTAAGCAAATGCCTAACTCACCTATACATTGAGCCAGCCTTGATCATAGGCACTTGTCAAAACTTGAAGTATTTAAAATCAATTGAACAAATGGTTTCGTGGTAGATTTCGGTTCATAAAGTTTTGCAGAAAAAAATGTTTTGCTTCGGGATAGAAAACTTAGAACACAAGAACCGTAATCATTAAAACGTTTAGATTCAGAAAAAATGTTTTTTGTTAACAAAAATGAACCAATAAAATTAAATGCGTTAAAATTATCGTCATGTATTTCATTACCGGAATATTTCAACGGTAAGCTATATTATGACATATGTACAGTTAAATTGTTGAGTAGGATTGAGATTAAATGAACGCGTGAAAAATACTTATCGAATAATAGTTCATCGTACACGTGTAGAACACGAATATGTACATTACAGTTACAACCCACTGTTGTCATATTCAAGATGTTTTTTTTTTTTATTATTATTATTATGCTTAGCTTGGCGATATCATAAAACCCACTGATAATGAAATAAAATTGATAATACGTGTTCTTTTCACCGTTTTCGACGTCCAACCGGGGCGCGTTTTCTGTACCGTTAGATAAAAAAGGGGTTAATTTTCTTTGTAGAAAATGTTAAAATGTCAATTGAAAATATTTGTTTATGAACAAGTGGGCTTAACAAAGGCTTTTCTATTATTATTCTATCCAAAAAGCACTGCATTGGCCGTGATTAAACTGTCAAGTATACGAATATTTATGTATAAATAAAATATGAAATGTACACAATTATATACATGAGTATATACTTACCTAGGCTAGAGCTATACATGGCACATTCGTCGCGTTTTCCGCCGTGATCACTATATGAGACGTTTTCATTTGGCCTTACACATCGTGGTACTCGTTTATAATAATTTTAAATATTTTATGTCCCATGATTACTGTATAATATCATTGTAAAATATGAGACAATCACTTAGAGTTATTATTTTATAAATTTCTATGTGTATATGTCTAGACTATTTTATTTCATAGTAAATAAAATATTTTAACCAACGAGTGCTTGAACGTTCCACGGAGAATTTTTAGTTAATTGTAATTAAAACATTAAACAGTTAAAGAGTAAACACGTTATTTATTACTTTACTAGCATAGACCTTTACAAAATATCTATGAAGTCGAAAGCAATAATTTTCGTAATATTAATTTGAAACTCTTAAACAATTCAAAAATTTAACACAAAATAAAAACAAAATTTTCCAAAAATTTTAATATTACAATTTCAAAAAAATAATCAACAGTAAACAACATGAAAACAAATGGTGGTCAACGCCTAACGTTACGTTAGTCCACTTTCTATATATTAGCTTGTTAAAAATTATATTTATCTTATATTTTTTGTCTATCATTTGACAGTTGAATACCTGTACTACTGTTTACTATCACCTCCATATTATGTAAACATAGGTATCTGGTATATAATGTGTAAAAATAGTTGAATATAATAGCGATTTAATAATATGTTAGTTAATTACTACAGTAATATAAATATAGTATAAAATACAAGGAAAATATTATTTATTTATTTAAAATGATTGTATGTACGCGGATTTTCCGTTGTCTGTATAGCTAGGTTCCATTTAAAATAATAGAAAATTGAAGGTTCACGTTTTTATTGCTTTGGCGTTCAGACATAAAAACGATGCCCAGACAGCGTTTCCGCGGTGGTCATAATCGCGACGGATCGTAACCACCGTATATAGCCACTCTAATTTAAAATAATATAATTTGGAGGTAGCGGAAAACGCTAGCTTTAAGTGGTACAAATGAAAATAAATTTGTAAACTGTAGCCTATATTCTCTATGTATTTTTTTCTTACATTCTATTTTAAATCGTTAACTTTTGAGGTTTTCAAAGGGAAATGGAAGAAGCGAGTTATCGTACTGAAAATGGAATTATAAATATTAAATTTTAAATTACATCTATTGCGGTTTCTTCATGTGTATGGATGCAATCATCATTCAATTAGTCTATTGAAAAAAAAAAATACACACAATACCTTAAAGCTTTTGCTCGATACAATATTTATGTCGAATAAGTAAACATTAAATTAATTAAAGAAATCCACAATTAGAAAAAAAATGCCTAATTTTTCGGACTGTGTTTAGATTTAAGGTGTTCATATTTTATGTTTTATCGTAGTCCAACGATTATAACAGTAAATCACATGTTTTAAAGTATAAAGATTTATAGAGATTTAACATTCGATATTTTGAAATAAATAAGTTTTTATTTCCTTAAATGTAGTTATACGTAGATTAAAAACTGTTGTAGATATATATTTTTAATTATTTTTCGTCTTTATTGTTATATTCATTTTAAAGAAACATTAAAGTAGACATAAATATCGTAAAAAAAAATATGATTATGAATGATCTTTCATCTTTTTTAACAAGCCATCAAAATTGAACCCAAATTAATTTATTTTATATTTTAGAATCCGAGAAAATGGTATAGTGTATTAAGCTGTTTAATTAAAAAAAAAAAAAAAAAATTAATTAATAAAAATATCTCACGTAAAAATTGATATTATAATGCATGATTTAGTATAATTTTAATATTGTTATCGTGTTGGGATTTATTTATTTTATATTTTTATTTTATTTATTTTGTCATAGTCAAATTGTCAATGCGTAATATCATGATGTGTGAATGAGCGGATTCGATTTTTGTTAAAAAGAAAACAATCAACATTAATTTACATAATTTTTTTAAGTACACAAGTACATTTGAACGATAGGGGAAATAATACCCTTTACATTTTGTGTTGATGGCATATTTGAATAATTATTATTGCCGGTGACTGAGTGAACATTAGTACAATTGAAGTTTTTTAAATGATTTTAATACGGTTAACGTTGATTAACCGATTTACATATAAATATACACATTGTTTTCTACGTTTTTACATAGCTGTATATATTTGGTAACTGTATATTATTGATCCTATAAATTAATGTTATTTATTTGAACCGTTATTCTACGAAAAATTGCACACTGAAAACCGAATAAAAACCGCATTTTATCATCAAAATTTGGCTATACTCGTATTTAATTAATATTTATTTTATTTTTCGGTAACTCGAACAGTGAATATAGTTTTTTTTTCTTTTCTAGTTAATAATTTCTCAAATGATTTTCTTTTAGATTTCCAATACTTTATCGTTGTACTTATATATTCAAATGTAAACCAAAAATCCATAATTAGGTTAATTTGTTTTGGGCTTAGTTGTAGATTTTATTGAATTCGTAAGCTATTTATTGATTTCTAATAAACTTTATATTATAATGTTTGCATGAATCATGTTTGTTTTTGTCGGACGATCAGGATATTCGGAGAAATGTCCGTCGACGACGAGTAAATGTATATCACATTTTATAAAAACGTTTTCGTATTTTCGCAGGTTTCGGTCAGAAAATCTGTCTGCAGGATGGCACGTGGTTCAAGCATCCGGACAGCAACAAGACGTGGTCGAACTATACGACTTGTGTCGATTTGGACGATTTAAAAGTGGGTAGAATAAAACGCAGTACCTATCTTATGCAGGAAAAAAAGCAGCAGTCGACGGATAGGCTCTTGAGGACCTGTGTGTTTAAGGAGGGTGACACTGCATCTTGGCTTATTTTAAATTTCGCGTAGTTCGTAAAAATGAAACAGTGGATATACTTGTCAAAGAGAAAGAGAGAGAGATAGTAAGAGAGAGAGAGGTAGAGGAGGGCCTGCGACGTCAGTCGCAACAATCATTTGGCATGCCGTAAGTAATGACCACACTATACTGTACATGTATAGGCATATACTCGTACATACAAAGCGCGATACATCCATGCGTCCTGCGTGCGCTCTCGCGTATACGATAATATTATAATGTATTCATCACGAAAACGCGGCTGGCGGTAAGCTCTCCCGTAACCATTGTGTTCGCGAGCTGAGCGTCGCGACGGTTACGCGGGGGAAGGATAACGGCAAGGGATTTATCCGCTCCAAAAGCCAATACTATTAGAGTCCGACGCGGGTACGTGTGCCGGACAACGAATTAAACAATAATAGAGGAGTGGGTGGTATGTTTTCGATCGATCGTTGTTGATCAAAAACTGGAGTTTCGATGTCACCCGAAAATCGTGTTGAGAAGAAAAATTTAAATGTCTCGAAAAATGAATAATTTATTTTATACGGATTATGAGCGGTGTGGGTAATAATTATTAATCGTTGAAATTTACGTGTATTTTTTTTATACCAAAAGTTAAAGATAATAGCACGTACCTAATTCGGTTAATCCAACTTCGTAAACAGTCTTTTTTCGTTACTCGAAAAAATGTAACCGACGTTGCTCTGCGGCCGAATGAATTGTTTGTTGAATATCTATCGTTATAATTAAAAAATAAAACGCGTGGTCACAAGCAGTTTTTTATAATGGTCTTATATCTTTCAAGTAAAAGTTACGGACAGTTTTTGTGATTAAAAAAATTGTACCGCGAAAATGTGAAAAATGTGTCGACTCAATATTAAAACAAACGATAAACACGTGAAAAACATTTTTCAATTCTTAGAGCTACTTTTTCTCCAGTTAAAAATAAGTGGGAGTGGGGGCGTCGAAATGTTAACACCAGTTGTTATGGCGTAACCTTTCTGGACTGCTAACTACCACCCCGTGGGACGTTATCACGTTGTTTTCGTTCTGGTGCTCGTCAGCAAGACGCTCGCGGTAACGGAAAGTGGTATTAATTAATTGGTATTCAGTTCGATACAGGACTACTTATACTTTTATTTATTGTAGTTATTAACCGTACATGTGTGTGTTTTTTAACTACTGTTTTTATTACTGTTTTCCAGTTGAGGAACCAGGTGAACATGATCTATAAATGGGGATACACCGTGTCGTTGGCCGCGCTGGCTGTCTCGATATTCATATTCTTTTATTTCAGGTATATACACGCATCACGGTCAACGCTTATCATACATCATTGTGCTACGCGCGTGCCATAAGTATCGCATTTTTATACGGGATCGTTCCGCGATTCAACTTCGTTTACCTTTGTTCCGACTAAAACAAAACGGAATACATTACGTCCTGTGTTTTCCTTATTGTTAACGTACTGATTGTAGCAAATTAATTAAAATAATTCTTACTTAAGAAATGGTATTTTTGGGTTATTGTTTCGATCATTTAAGCGGGTATTATTATATTATGTATCATTGTATTACTATAAAATCGTTTATGAGTATAATTATTTCATAAGTATTTAAAAACTTGTACACTGTTCACGTTTATTTTATTGTTTACGTTACCAAAGAAGAAACTACCTAATTATAAAGTTGCGTCGCTTATTTTTTTTAAAACAATTTTACGTTACCCTGGTGTACAATAATATTATGTTGTTGTCCTGAAATACGCATATCCTTCGTTTCGTCAGACACAGGTTTGAATGGATTATTATTGGTCGCTCGGGTATACCGGTCGAGTAATAAACAAGAACATCAATTAATCTCACTAAGTCGGAACAGTCGTTAGTCGACGACTGATATAAACATCGAGCCGGAAAAGGTTTCTAAGGGATTTTAATTTGAGTTTTTTTTTTTCTTTTTTGTTAATAAGTTATAGTAATTAAGATCGTTTCAATCTTGCTTTCCACGACAACCTGCAGGCGGTGACTACTTGTTCCGATTCGTCACCGTTATCGGATGATTTGCACGTTAAACAAACGTTAATGTTGCAATGTAGCTTCTGCTCAAATCCCTGGACAGGCGGCGACGGTAACAGATACGGGGGTACATTGCATACGATTTTTTGTATCACTCTCCGAATGACGGTAATGATCTCGAGGCTGTCGCATTTTTCGAGGATCAATTTTTCAACCTTTCGAAATCTTCCGGTAACGAAACGCGAAAGATTCTTTCGAGTAAACGCACGCCAACATTCGGTTAGTTCGTGTATCGTTTCGGGGGTGATTTCACGGTTGAAGTTAGTATGATTATTTTACGCGGACATCTATGTCATATAAAATCGGATCGAACGAGAAACTATATATTATCATTAGGACTGGAATTTCAATTCCCTTAAAAAAAATGCAAAAATTACTTAAATTACTTAAAACATTCTTCAGAAAATTTACCAAGACAAATTCAAAATAAACTAATCTCACACGAGTTTTACTTACTACGTTTTACCGTATAGTTGAAAATGACAAGCAATAGTGTAGTCGGTAATAAATCGTGAAGAATGACGTGTGCGTAAAACCGTTTGAATTTATCGTTTTAAATACGACTTCGTCAAGTGTGGAGGTATTCGCTCGAACCGTATTTATACACTCGCATAATCCATTGGCGTACTCGGATTTTAGTGATTACTTAAGAAAATTACTCACCTGAAACCGCGTGTTGGTTTATCGAAAACTATAGCTATCATTTTTATGTAACGTCATAATATCCCTGCAGAATATAATGTAAAATAATATTGACCAAAAATAATGTGATCATAATACATTAATTACGACTGTTTTGAACCGGTCAATATATTATTTTGTACCACGAATTATAAAAACTTGATTTTGGTTTTTGTTGTGGATGGAATATTCATAATTCAGCATTTAGCTCGCTCTCCTGCCCGTATAGAAATTAAAAACCAAACAAAGCACTAGTTTTTTCCCACGTATATACATGATTTTATGATTTCCAGGAGTCTTACTTGCACCAGGATACAAATACACAAAAACCTATTCATTTCATTGGCCATGAACAATTGCCTGTGGCTAGTTTGGTACGAGGCAGTAGTGGACAATTTACCAGTACTCATGGCGAACGGGGTAAGATATCCCAGACAATATTATGGGCTCAATGAGTCGTGATCGATAATGCATTAAAATAAACCGTTCACACGAGTGGTTTTCAAATATAATTTCACTAATGTTAGCAGAAAAGCTGAAATTTAAAATATTTTTATCACTATATATTATAATAATGAAATATAATTATAATACGATCACTATTTGTTGCAAAAAATTAAAATATAACTTACGGTTTTCATATGGAAATATGAACTGATTTACATTCTTATTTAACCTCCAAAATTGACTTCGATCATCCGAATCACCTCTTGTACTTAACTCCGAATTCGAGTCAAAATCTGTGGCTAAAAACCACTCGTGTGAAGGCATTTAGTCCACGGACCATTCTTATAAGTATATAAATAAGTATACAAATATGTAAACACACATTTTCAGTTGGCCTGTAAACTTCTACACGTGCTGGTCCAATACTTTCTGGTAGCTACGTATTTTTGGATGTTCTGCGAGGGACTGTACTTGCACACGTTACTAGTGGTAACTTTTCTCACCGAGTCCAAAGTAATGCCATTCTTGCACACGATCGGTTGGGGCATACCTGCGGTGTTGGTATCTACGTACGCTGGACTTCGGACAATTACAACTGGTGAAACTATACAGTTAGTACGTTTTAGATTATTGTTTATTTTCGTTGATTCCTCCCCACATTCTCATATTGCACTAAGATCGAGTGTACACACATGCATATATAATATTTAATGATATAATATTATATATAATATTAACCGATCTACCCGATTTCGCTGGGGTTGGTTTTAAATTATTTTTATCATTTTGAAATACAAACGTTTATGATTTTAATTTAACCGAGTACTAATCGGTGCACAATATTTTTAGTTCACACATGAATATGGATGTTCATAAGACAAGCATGGATTTTCCAAGTCCAAGCGGCAAATTAACATTGTTCAACCTTAAGACTTATTTATGGTTATCGCGAAAGCCAAACAAATAGGAAATTGAATTTTGAATTGTATTGGAAATTTTAATGGTATCAATGGAATACGTGGCAACAGGACGATTCATCTTTGAAACTTTCAAGTTAAAGTGGTTGCTTTAACAATATTTCCGTTGATGTTTTTGATGACCATGTTATATAGATTCCATATGAAATAGTGTCGGCATATAATAATGTTTGTGCGAGTTGGCCGAAAACATTAGATTTTTGACCCAATTTGAAAAATTCAATAAGTGTTGTTTTTTGTTCCTTAAGTGCTCTTTAGAAAAAATTTGCTTCAGTGAAATATGCACGTTGATCGTTTTCAAGAAGGTCTGTAAGGTTACATGCAGTTCATGCAGTTTCATGCACTACCCTTTTTTTCGATATTCATCAGACATTCATCACGCTGTTATCGAGATACTTGTGTACGACTCTCTTTTGCCATGGTTCATTTAGCTGTGTTTCTTGTCACGGTTTGATCGGCCGATTGAAGTTCTCTTTCAACACGTTTATGTCTTGGCTTTCTGGTACTCTGATTGTGGAGCTTGGATTTTTTTTTTTTTTTTTGGTGGCATTAAGATGAAATAGGAATCATTAAATGAGAATCAAATAAATGACACTCATACGTTTTTAAACGTTTTTGGTAGTATAGTTTAGTGTTTGCGAAGTTATAATAGAATTGTCGATAAACTAACTCAACCATCATCTGTTAGAAACTTGTGGAACTTGCACATAATCACAACCTTTTGTCCTGTAATAAAAATTCAATTCAACATTAATCGAGAATTAAACAATCCTATAGCATAATTTGGACGAAATCGCACACATAAGAGTATAATATTATCAAAACAGGTTAAGTAGTTTTGAGTTTCATTGAAAGCAAACTGTTGAACACCATTTTTATATATAAAAGGGAGAGAGAGAGAGAGACGTTTATTATAATCGATAAAACGATACGCAGTTCTCGTTGCTGAACGAATATAATAATATTTTAAAAAACACGTCTTATAGCTTTACCATGGTGACATTAATGAGTATGAAAAATTTTATCAACAATCGGATTAGAACGTGAACCACAGTAAATCTCTCGGCCGTGCGGTTACGCTAAAAAATTACAACTCCTTATCGATAAACACTGCACGCACTGTGAATTCAAATCGGACGATTATACCTACATGTGGGATTTATTTTGAGCTTTTACGTTTAGGATCACATTAACACATACGATTTCCACGGATCTTTTGAGAAAACCAACAAGTAGATATAGAATATAATTATAATGGTACATTAAGTCTAAGTACATTTAAATATAATTATGAACGTACATTATAATAACCATTGGAAAACGCACTTTAATAGATATAGTAATGTCGCTTTGATTTTACCATGACAATACTGTAACGTACGTTTAATTTTTCTCACGAAACACTGAAATATACGTACAAAATACATTTTTACGACATCTTTGAAAATGTGGTCCGAATAATTATACTATCACTTTTGAGCGTGGTTGGATTTTGCTTACAAAATATTAAACATTTAAAAGAACATATTTTATTATTCTTTGGATTTGCATGATACATGTAACCCATCTAATACGTCAAATAACCATATATAATTCAAAACATATAGTGGCTCCAATGGAACGTGTACAATTATGGTAGAAATTATATGTTTTCTTTTCACGTATAATATATATAATTAAACATATCAATAATATTATCAATAAAACATGTGAATTATGATTTTTTTTTTGAAACCATATATTTGTGAAAATAATTCAGATTTTAAATAATTTTGATCATGATTCAAGTATGAATAAGTACAAAATTTTATTTATCTCGAATTTAGTTAGTTAAAAGTTTAAACAGTATGATTTTATTTTTAACTAGTATTGAAGTTATAATGTTCTATCCCTTGAATAGCCGTAAAAGGATATTTAGCTGTGATCCGATTATGTTCAGTACTCTATTATAAATCAACACGTCGGCAATCAAACTATTTCAAATAAAGTATTTCAAATAAATGATGAAAATTCATTTTAGATTAAACTTGCTGTCAAAAAATAATTGTTTTCAAAAAATATTATATTGATTATACTATTAAAAGAAACTTTAATTCGATACCGATCAATATCAATTAGTTTATAATTATTTTTTTTTTCTATTCTAATATCTATACATAGATCAAAGGAAAATAAATAAAAAAAAAAAAAACAATAATTAAATACTCTTGGCTAAATCTGTAACCATGGTTTTTGATTAAATGTAATTAATTAATCAAATTAAATTATAATTAACTAATCATTAGTTATTTTATAGCATACTATAACAATACGCTATTGAAAATAAAAAAAAATAATGCAAGCCGCTGGCTATTTGTTTTAGAAGACATTTATGAAGATTAAGTATATTAAGTTCTTTATAACTATCATTTAATGCTATATCAAATTATTTTTCAATGAGAAAATTTATTTCATAACATGTAAAATATCAATAACATTCATATTCTAGTTTTCAAAAGAATTAATAATATTGACTAAATATTTAGTTGATATTATTAATTTATTATCAAAATTATTTCGGATTGTAGATTTATTAGTCTTTTCACTTTGCTTCTTCGGAGTAATACACAGCAATTTACCAATGGAAATGATTTTCATGTGCAAACAAATTTTGTCCAAATTTGATTATCAATCCCTCGGATCATTTGACGACTTTGAAACGAGTTGTACAATCAATTTGTAAAGTATATACTCGTATAATAATAAGAAGGATAAAAATGTAATATTTTAATTGCAAAAAATATCATTTTCTGCGTATAACTTTAATCATTGGATGTTTGTTGATGGAAGTTCAATGCATTTTTTTTTATCAAACAAGTTTCATCTTGTATGCAAAGTATTTTTAAAATTACGTATTAAAAAAAATTAGCCATATTCATACATTTGATATTATCATATATATATATATATTAATTACTCATCGTCCAGATGATGAATTTTTTATCATCGCTATTACTAAATTTATTAATTTAAAAATGTTTGTTAAGTTTTCGACACCACATTTTTGACTAGCAATCTGGTTATATTTTTTTGTAACTTGTAAAACAAAAGTAATGTTATTCACATAACGTATTATTAACTTTTGGATTGAAAGTATTCTTTTCCATTTTCCCAGGAGAAGTAGTCTCGTGAACAAGTTGTTTTATTTATTTTTTTCCAGCACAATTTAGTGATCAAATGCAACTATAAAGATTGTACCAAGTACGGTACATGTAGAAGATAATTTTTAACCCAAATTTAAAAAATGTATTTAACACATTCGAGACGAATCACGCGTGAGACGCGTGATGTATCTTTATATAAAGCAGACGAAATATGTTCGATCAATTTTTTTCCTTAGGACGAGTAGTTTTTACTACTTTTCACTAAATTATTACATTTCCACGTTCAAGTAAAATTTTATAATTTTTTGAAAATAAAATATTTTAAATCTTAAATTTTGTTTAAAAAAAAAAAAATAAATATTTTCGTTACTTTTATTTTTGATACTTTTTTCACTCGTCAAAACATGAACAAAAAATGATTCGTCTTTTATGGGTAAAATATTGTCACGTGCCAGACGCGTGACTCGTCTTCAACGTAATTTGTTGATCGGGACGGTCCGTTTCGATTTTTAACCCACATTTAAAAAATGTATTTAAGTATTTTTTTCCATTTTCAATAGTTAATAGTTCCATTCCTTGGATTCAGCAGTGGATTTGATTAAACTTTTCATAAGTATTTTTCAGACGATAAAATTATTTGTCAATAAATTATAATAAGCTGGTGTGTTGCAATATGTGTCCAATATTTATTTTTTTTTAAAAAAAAAAAGAATGCATTTATATATATATATATATATATATATATGTTACTGGCAATATGGATAATCCGGAATTTTGCAAAATTCCTAGGCATTATACAAAATGCCAAAAATCACTCGGCAATATACATAATACAAAGTTTGCTTAGGTATTATGTATAATGCCAATCGTGGAGTAGGCAATATGAAGAAAACCAACAAAATTGGACATCGCCTATTACCAACGACATCGTTCATGATTTAACGCACGATTTAAGTTTTTTATCTGATGAACAGTATAATGAGTTGATAAAAATTAAATCCACTAGAATTGGCCAAGGGTTTTTAAAATGTGTTTGTAAGTCCAAGTGTCAAAATAAAAAGTGTATTTACCTTAATAATAATATTTTGTGCACTTCAATCAAAATGTCACTTTTCTACAACATGTAATAATAAGTAAATATTTATATAATAGTAATAATATATTAATGGATAAAAATTTAATTTTATCTATAATATAAGTAATAATGTATAATAATTATAAGAATCTTAATGTAATATATCACATAATAAAATGTTTTGTACTTTGCCAAAAAAAAAATTGGCATTTTGCATAATGCCTAGGTATTTTATGAAATACCTAGGTTATATATAAAATAATATTGAAAATCATATATTTTATTTAAATTGCCTAAAATGGGTCGGCAATTTGCAAACTATCTGAATTATCCATATTGCCGATAATATATATATATATATATAGTGACTAGTTATAGCGCATAAATTTAAACAGTATTAGTGTTATTTTATATTA